GTCATTCGGACGGCCCATCGTGACTTCTCAAAGGGGCTATGCTGTTCCGACCTCGGAAAGGTCTGACAAGCAGCAGCTCAACCCCTTGCCGTATTTGTCCAGGGCGAGTATCTTTGTTTAGTGGTATGAAAAATCCGCGTAGAGGTAGAGAGAATAGCGCTGGAGAAGGTGCCTATCAGATCTAGACAGGGATACGCTAGCATAGAGGAAGCCTATAGAGAAGGGGTGTTCGTCTACTGAGTTCCTCCCAGGTACAGCTAGCACTGGATGCTGGTGATAGCCTCTCGATGAGGCTTCGATGCACATTACGTTGCCGTAGAAGTTACTGCACATAAGGCATAGTATTTCGTAATAAGCCCTCTACGTATGGTCACGGTAGAGGGCGAGCTTACGAGCGGCCCTCAACTTGCCATTAGATAGCTTTGCATTCGTCTGTCACAGACCACTAAGGAGAGGCTCCTGAGGAGTAGCTAGAGTACTACGATGGAGTTTTCTAACAGCAATACAACTGATGCTATTCCGTGCAATAAATTGTTGTCTCAGCAGTGTTGAGCTTTTGAGCCGGAGGAGTGAGGATTTCTTGGTCTTTGGGGTCGGCTCACTAGGTTTTACATCCTCACCAATGACTGACCACGACAGGATCGGTCAAACCTCCACCTTAACGGCACTGGGAGGACAGTCGCTGACAAGCCTAAGGTGGCACGTGGCCATCGGGCTTGCGGCCCTCGCAGCAGTCCAGTCCACTGTTGCTCTGGTCAGCGCTGAGTCATCGACCTCATCATCCTCGAGAGGCGATGGCTCCCCAGTAGATGACGATGTTCTGGTAGCTGAACCTGGGGGCTTTGATTTGATCGTCGTATCCTGCAATGGTATTCTCAGGCTAGGCCCCAGCCGTACCGCTGTGCAGCTGGCTTGCCACCATCTGCACCTATGGTCAAGGGTCCTTCCAGTGGAGACAGCGCCGGTGCTGGCTTCCAGCTGGGTAGTAGTAGTAGTAGTAGTAGTAGTAGTAGTAGTAGTAGTAGACTTGTAGCCGTTGTAGGTCCTGACTTTGCGGATTCTGTGTGCAACTCTCTATGTGGCGGGGGAGTGCCTGCCCATCACGAGGAACCCACCGCGAGCAGGTAAGTTGAATCTGCACTTGGTAAGAACTAGAGGTTCGTCAGCAGTACGATGGAGGATAATGATAGAGGCTCCGTGAGAGGAGTGAATGCTGCGGAAGTTGCAGCTCTAGCTTTGGTTACTGGCATGTGCCTCATGGGCTGTGCTTACTCTGTGAAGCTACTGTGTAGGAAGAGGTAATGCCGTAATGCTCCCTGCTCTTTGCGTGAAAAACTGCTGCTATCTACTTTAGGTGTAAATGTAGACTATGCAGTGGACACTATCAGCTGATCAAACGGCTGGGTAAGCCACTCACTGGGTAGTACTCTCGAGCCTATACGAAATCAGTGGTTGTGTACGGGTTTGGTTCTTCTACGTCGAATCATATGACGCCCACTTGGCGGCGGCGGCGGCCTGATTCCGGGATGGTCTCAGCTATCCTTAGGTAGTGGCGGCTTTGGGGAGGTATATTTGGTCGCATCTCCGGATCACAGTAAAGAGCTATTCGCAGCTAAGAAAATACCGGTGAGCCGCCCGTAGTCGACTTCTGTCCATTATAAGACTGTGTAAGGTCTCGAATGTAACAGAGGCTGACAGCTTCTCCTCCGAGGCTAAGGAATTGGCTCGCTTGCACCATAGGTATGAGAACTAGTACTGTGAGGGTGGTCATATGTAATGGTAGGTATATAGTCTCCTATG